ATTTGTAGCCTATGGCCTACGGCCCATAATAGCCTAGGCTACCAATGCCTACGGCTCATAATATTTAGTATGTTCTTGAAGACCAGATCTCTATATTCACATAATTTTTTTTATCAAAATCAAGAAACGGATCGACCAATCTTACCAAAAACTAATCAGCACGATTTTGCAACTGATATATTTCCAACAATTTTTCAAGTTTTAATTCAGGATTCTTGGGACGAATTTTGCACTTTTCTGTTCATTATAAAAAAAGGCATAACCGATCGTTGCGCAAAAATAACCAAAGCGAGCCCTTACGAGTTACACGAATTGTTTTTAAAATTTGAAAATCATTTCAGCTGTTTTTAAGGCAACGTCTATGACAGGTCAACACAAATATATTTTTTCTTATTTCGGTGTTGACATATAAAATAAATTTCTGGTGCAAGTATAAATTTCTTCTTCAGGAAATAAGAAGAAAAAACTATTTTTTTATTTCTTAAAAATAACAATACAGATAAAATGAAATCTTATAAGATGCTGTTGTTGTTATGTGAAAAGAGAGAAAAAAAATAAAAAAGAAGAAAAAATAATAATTGAGAATTCACTCCATGGAAAGAAGTCTAGTGTTAACAAATGACTATATAAAGTAGATCAATTTTATGTAAATCAAGTTTAAACTCATAAAGTGAAGTAACACCTATCCCCCGTATTATACGTTTTCTATCCTACACGATTTTTGAAAATATAATAATAAGAACGTTTATTAATCTTAGATATAAACGAAATTATTTACACTAAATTATAATTTGCTTGTATTCACAATAACATTTTCATTGTTTTACTATCAAAATACAACATTACAAAGTGTATGCTACAGTTACAAATTCTTAGTAGTTTATGTCTATGATGGAAATATGTATATAAGATGGGAACTCCCGTTTTGATCAAAACTAAATTTTATATGTGTGTATAAGCTATTTTGTTAAAATACCAAAAAACAATTTATTTATTTATAATTTTGCTTTTAATTAGTGTATGTATAATCTCAATACCAAGAGTAGTATATAAAAATGACATTTTTTTTAAATATTTGCTTCATTGTTGAAACAAAATATTCTTATAATTTATTAAATGTATTTGATATTAAATATATTAATATTTCTTTTTTGTTCAGTGTATTTGTCATTCATCATGTTCAAAACTGACAAAAAAGGCTTTTTATAGTGATTTTCGCTTAGCACTTTCTTTCCATATAAGAGTCAATTTTTCAAGTCGTATTTTTTATGAAAACTATTCTTTCGTGTAAAGCGGAGGATAGATGTATGTAGTTTAAAATTTTTTTATATATATTATTTTTTAACAGCAATCAGAACCTTACGTCCTTTGAGCTGTTGGGCTGAAACTTCTTACTACGTATTTTTTTTAGATGGTAACCAATGGTTGATCCATCCATATTTGATGATTTTGTTATTAGAATTAATTTAATAGGGCTGACACAATGCCGGGCAAGGGCTATTTTCACTTGGAAACATATTGCTATCTATATTTTCAAGTGAAATCGTTGTCAATGCTGCCTGACACAGGCTGCTCGAAGTGGGTATCGAACCCGGGACCTCTGAAACAAGTCCCGTCGATCTTAACCGCTTACCTACTACTGGCGAGCCCGTAGTTTAAAATATATGTGTTTTATTATTTACTAGTAAAATGAGTGTTTAGTATACTATTGTGATTTAAGCTTTGTATCGAGATATGTTAGTCATTGTATAGTTATACCGTCGGCTTTGCATTAACGGACATAGACACCCTACATATTATATTTACAGTACACGTGATATACCAAACACGTAAAGGTACCCATCCCATTAGGAAGTTTATTATCGAAGCAACCAGAAGATTTATTATGGAATGAGCAAGAGGCAATACAAAAATAGAGATAACATGATGTCATAAAGAAAGAAAAAAAAATAAAAAAGAAGAAGAAATCATAACTTAGAATTCTCTCATGGAAGAGAAAAAGTCTAGTGTTAAAAAATAACCATATAAAGTAGATAATTTTTGTAAATTATGTTAAAACTCACTATGGAAAGTACACCTATCCCCCGTTTACACGTTTCGATACTGCATGGTTTGAAAATATTGTTTTAACGAAATTTATTAATATTGCATTAACATAAAATTAAAAACATAAACTATAATTCTCTTGCAAAACATTTTCATTGTTTTACTATCAAAATACAACACTATAAAATGTATGTTACAGTTAAGAATTCTTAGTAGTCTATGTCTATGAAGAAAATATATAGAGAAGATAGGAACTCCCTGTTTTATGATCAAAACTAAATTTATGTGTGTATAAGCTAGTTGTTTAAAATACCAAAACAAAAGTTTAACAATTTATTCATTTATAAATTTGTTTTTAATTAGTGTATGTATAACCTTAATACGAAAAAGTATACGAAGATATGACTAAAAATATTTTTTTATATTTGTTTCATTATTGAAACAAAATATTTTTATAATTTATTAAATGTATTTGATATTAAATAAATTAATTTTTTTTTTCAGTATTCATTTCAGTTATTTATCATGTTAAGCTGACAAAAAGAGCTTTTTATAGTGATTTTCGCTTAGCACTTTCTTTCCATATAAGAGTCAATTTTTCAAGTCATTTTTTATGAAAACTATTCTTTCGTGTAAAGCGGAGGATAGATGTATGTAGTTTAAAATATTTTTTTTATATATTATTTTTGAACAGCAATCAGAACCTTACGTCCTTTGAGCTGTTGGGCTGAAACTCTCTTACTACGTGTTTTTTTTAGATGGTAACCCAATGGTTGATCCATCCATTTTGATGATTCTGTTATTAGAATTAATTTAATAGAGCTGACATTATTGGTGCAGCAATGCCGGGCAAGGGCTATTTTCACTTGAAACATATTGCTATCTATATTTTCAAGTGAAAATCGTTGTCAATGCTGCCTGACAACAGGCTGCTCGAAGTGGGTATCGAACCCGGGACCTCTGAAACAAGTCCCGTCGATCTTAACCGCTTACCTACTGGCGAGCCCGTAGTTTTAAAATATATGTGTTTATTATTTACTAAAAAAATGAGTGTTTAGTGAACTATTGTGATTTAAGCAGTTTGTATCGAGATATGTTAGTCATTGTATAGTTATACCGTCGGCTTTGCATTAACGGACATAGACACCCCTACATATTATATTTACAGTACACGTGATATACCAAACACGTAAGCAAGTTTCGCAAAAAGCCCCGGGGTCACATTCATTCATATCACCCCAACACAATGCACCTTGTAACCTGTCGCTGGAATGCATTAGGGCCCGCGACATCATAAAATGCATTGTTTCACATTCTGACGACACACTGCTTATGGAATATATGATACTTCATATATTTTATATACGGGTGTTCCAGAACTCAACGTCAAGCCGAAACTTGGTGATAGATAATGACATAACTGTCATGAAAAATATTCGAAAAAAATATCAGAGTTAAATGCTTTGGTGAAAATGTGACCATTTTAAAGTTATTGTGGTTTTATTTTATTAATTTTGTTTATTTAAGCTTTTGACTACAGTCCAAAATAATAACACAATTGCCCCAAGTTTTTAAGAATTAAGACTTTATTGAACAATTAATTTCAAATGTGGCGAGCTTACTTGGTAGCGTGTTCGATTCACACAACAGAGATCTTTGAATCGAATCCTGTCATTGACATTGAGTTAATTTATGAAAAAAATGTGTAGTTAATTTAAAATTAAATAAAAATTGTATTTGTTAAGTAGAAATTAAATACGAATTAAGAAAAATAGGAATTACAGAATTTGAAAAGCTGAATTGTATTAGGAATAAGAAGAAAAAATATCAGAATTTGCTGAGATTAAAAAGAAGAATGAAAAAAAAATGGAATGAAGATAAAAGTTGAATAGAATTAGAAATTTGATAGAAAACAGCAAAAATTGAAGAAATTAAAAGAAGAAGAATATAGAATAGGAATAAATATATAGATTGAATATGATATAAAAATTGGTATAGAATGTAAATAAATAAAAATGTTGTAGGTAGCTAAATGCCCACAGTAAGCGAGGCCAAAAAAATTAGAAAAAAAAATAAAAATAAAATCAAATTTACAAGTAAGTGAACTTTGATAGACTCTCCTTTAAAAAAACTGCACTAAAGTGCATTGGCATCAGGATCGTATTATAATAAAATCTTGATGGTTCATAATAAAAAGTCGAGTAAAATGACAAAAATATTTTACTATTTTACAATCCAGATATAAATGACCTTTTGTACATCAAAATTGACAATTTGAAAATTTTAAATTCATAGTTCAACAAAAAGTTATAATTCTTGAAATTTTTGGGACAATTGTATCATTATTTTTAACTGCGGGGCTTGAAATCTTGTTTACAAATACAGATCCAAAGCTTAAAAATGAAGAAAATTAATAAAAAAAAATCACAATAATCGAAAATGGTTACATTATTACTAAAGCTCTAGGTTGCACTTAAAGCTCATATTTTTCAAACTACGAGAGTATGTTTTATTTCTTTTGTTTGTTGTTTTGATGAAGTTAACACTAGGTATTATCGTAGTACACATTTTCATACCATGGAGTTTTAGACTTATTTGACATAGTATTATAATATCAAACAGCGAGTATTTTAGTGTTATTATTTTGTTACAGGCTATTTCCTTAGTTTTAAGTAATTGTAACTATTTTCCACTAATTGAACTATGATGTTAGCTGTTTCGGTTCCATATAATTTCAGTATGGTAACAATGTATCAAATGGTTTGGCATGATGTTTGGATTATTCTTATTTTGTCCATCTATCTGTCATGGCCGTCATTTTAAAACTATTTGTTTTTATAAAATACAAAGTTTTAAAATGAACTTTTGCAATATACACCACAAAAATCTGTTGAAAAACAATCATTTATTACTGTTAGAATAATTAATATTGAATACATTCTTTTTTTTTGCAGAATTGGCTTAACACCACAGAGTAATGTATGGATCGGTGCCTGGTGGATTGGCTTTATCTTTGGGGCCATAATATGTTTTCTTCTGGCATTGCCTATAATAGCTTATCCTTCATCACTTCCAGGTAAAAAATTATATAATGATAAATATTAAATTATACACATATTGTTTATGTTTATTAATTTTAAAAAAGCATATTATATGAATATGTCATATTATATACACCAATACCTGGCTTACAAGTGACCTGACATATGATGTTTCGATATACGAGCCACCAAAGAAGGGGTTTGTTTGCTTAGAAATACGAGGAAAATCTGAGATACGATCTTTCAGCGAGTAAGAGTTTTGTCAAAAAATATTAACAACAAAATGAAAATACGAAACATTTTGTCAACAATAACAATGATTTTCTTACCATAGAAATATTTTGGCTGTTTTATGATAGTTTTTTGCTTTTTGTACATTGACAAAGTATTATTTAATTTTGTAGCTATGAGTCTAAAGAAAAGATCCATGTATCTTGAATTAAAGCGTAAAATTAGAAAAAAATATTAGGATGATGTAAGAGAATAACACATCATAGATATATGCTATGTTTAAACAGAAGGTGTTAATAAATAGTATAACTCTAGCTGAGGGCCTTACAATAATTTATAAACAGCTTTCTGAGAAAAAGTTCTGAAAATCATTCCGAAAAAAATTCAGCAGTTGAACTAATTAGTTTTTCAACGAAACATGTCTAACTCATTTCCGCAATATCATAAATGGGCAAGAAAAACAATAATTAATTTAATAAACAGTAAATTTATTTTCAATATCGAAAAAACTTAAAAACCACAGTGCTAGAACAAGTTAATTGTAATTCCATATATTTATATTGTAAAAATTGCTTTGAGATACGAGCAATTCCACATACGAGCGTGGTTCAGGAACAAATTAAACTCCTATATCGGGGTACCCATGCAACCAATATATGACATGCATCTAGATTAATCAGTATTATTGATGTATTTATAATATTCAAATGTAATTAAAAAACTGTTTATACTTCATAACAACAATTTCAGAAAATAAATATTAGGTTGTGAAATATCTCCCAGGCACAAATTACAACTAAAAAATTTCAATTTTTAGAGAGCCGTTATATACGAACACTACAGATATAACTTCATATAATTATATTAATTATTTATAAATGATAAAAATATTTTTAGTGGAACGTATGTATGTAGCGATCGAATGAAAATTAATACAAATTAAATTTATTATTGTAGTTTTTGTTATTATAAGTCAAATGTAAAATTGGAGTTATGATCAAAGTATTGATTACAATAAGTTTTCTAATATGTTCATTATTTATTATTATTGTAATATTTTAATTTGCAAACGTTACAAATGATATTAGGATCGGAAGAGCTGCGCAACGCCCGAGTGTCAGAGGCCCACGCGCGTACTGGCGATTCGAAGGAAGGATTCGGACGGATACGCGAGCTTCCGAGAGCTTTAATGGAGCTTGTGCGCAATCCAGCTTTTTCATTCCTCAACTTGGCTGGCGCATCGGAGGGACTGTTAATTGCTGGTTTTGCTGCATTTTTGCCCAAATTAATTGAATTTCAATTCAGCGTTACACCGACACGAGCTGCGTTATTGATGGGTATGTTATTTATAAATATTTTTAATTTAATAAAAACTAGTGGGGCCATGGCCTCGTGCCTTAAGGCAAATTGCTGAAACTTTCCGTACCAAAAATTATTATTTTTTTAAAAACGATCAACATTTTTGAAAAAATTTTACTTCGAAAAAATTAGATTTTTGAGAAACTATAATTTTTTGTCAAAAACTTACTTTTTTTTAAAAAAAAAAGACTTTTTGAAGAAAAATTTATTTTGTTATATTTTGGAAATTCTGAACTTTTTTTACTAGATCTCCGAAACCGCTAAACCTGCTTTCATGAAAACTTGATCAGTTCTTTATCTTATTAATACAAGTGAAATGTTTTTTAAATTATTCAAATCGGACGCTCCGTTCTCTTAAAAACTGAGTTACCGTTTTCGGCACATTTTGCCCCATATCTGCGGAACGGCTAGACCTGCCTTCGCCAAAAACTAATCAGCACGTCTCCTTATCCATACGGATCAAATGTTTTTTTAATTATTCAAATGGCTTTATCCGTGTTCCTGAAATCGTCTACGAAAATTTGTATCCGCACACATACATACATCCATTTTTTTTAAGGTATGCCAAAATGTTCAGAAGGTTTTGAAACGTAAAGATATATGAAAAAAATTATTTTAGATTTTTTTGCTATTACTATAACCTGCCCTACGGAAAGTTAAAAATGTTGTAAAAAGTACTTAGAATGATAATGCCCCTCAAATTTAATTCTTAAATATTCAATATAAGCATTCAATATGACTATCACTGGGTATCATTCTAATATATTATCTTACAAATGAGTCAACAAAATTACTGAATGCTTTTTTATGCAGTTTATAATTATTTATTTATTTATTTATTTATTTATTATACGCCAATCGGCTATGAAAATTATATAAAAATAAAAAATATCTAATAACTTATTTAATGGGGCACCAAATTTTCATGAAAATAATATCAGTAAAACAGTAATATTGTCTTTATATATGAATCTCTATCTCTATTTATCAGAAAATTGAAATGCAAACGGTAGGTTTACATTGATCCTAAAATCACTTACCCTAAATCTAAAAGTTATGAAATTTATCGATTACTCTTTCTAACTTTTATTTAAAAAAGTAACAAAAATACTAGCAACAATAGTATTTTAGCATAAAATATTGTTAATATAAAAAAGTTTACTCGTCATATTGCTGATATTGACATGACAGCTTTTCTGCGAAGGCATGTTGCATACAAGGAACAAAGAAAGATAATTCTTAAGAAACAAATTATAACTAGATGTAAAAGGCATTTAGCCTTAAGACAAGTTTCAATTTTGACGATAAAATTTAAAAATTTTGACACGGCCTATTTTTACAAACTTTGATTAATTTTAATGATCATACCTTTTTTATATGATTATATGAGTTTAGGATTTCCGTTAAGACCATGAACTCTATTTTGCTAAAAACAAATTTCTCTTTTCTGCTAATTTTAAAGAAACGGTTTGGCCGATAACTAATTGCAAAATTTAATCAGCATAAGTGCTTATCGAGTTTTATCAAATTTTTAATTTAAAACTTTTAATTTTAATTTTTTAATTTTAATTTTTAATTCGACATATGTGGTCTAACTTTTTTTAAAAATAAATGAGAAAATCTGACTTAATAGCGAGAAAAAACACGAGAAATATGGAATGAATAAACTTGTTAAAAAAATACTATCTAGTGGTATGGTTCGAAGAAAATTAAAAAAACAATAACATAATTATTTGCTCGAATAATATATAGCTTTCAGAGTGAATTTTATATACTTTTATAAAAATTCATATGCAATTGGTATGCAATAATGTTCATACAGGCCCCAAAACACACTATTCACATTTCAGTGCTTGATGTATATTATTATAATGCACTAATTAGTTTTGCGATTTGTTAATTTTAATTTTCCATATTTCATAATTTCAGGATTAATAACAGTTCCAGCAGGCGGAGGTGGTACTTTTCTGGGCGGATATTTGGTCAAACGATTTTCTTTATCTTGTAGTGGAATTATCAAACTCTGTGTGGTCGCAACTGCTGCAGGAATATTGTTCACCTTCTGTTTCTTACTGAATTGCCCAAATCAACCGTTTGCTGGTGTTACAGTTCCGTATTCATCTTCCTTAACAAGCGATTCTTTGAACATCAGGTAAATTTCAAGAGGAAATAGATATTTATCACAGTGAAAAATTTCACTTAAAAATAGCAATAATTGAAGTTAAAGCATTACTGAACTATAAGTGTGGTATAGTGCATGGTTGATGAAATACTGCGATGTTAATTGAAATATTGTAGATATAGCGCTCTTACAAAATATGCATTGTTTTTCCCCAAAAACATCGATGAAATATCAAATTTTGGTTTACGTACAAATACAAAAATATACATAGTTTTTTTCAATTTTGGTGTCCGCAAGAATTCAGAATGACTTAAAATATACTTATAGTTCAGTCATTTGAGCTTAAATCAGGTAAGAATCTCGGAATTCGAGATACCCAGCTGTAAGCCTGTAAATACTTGTATATTGACACCCTAAAGTTATCACAAAGCCTACATATGGTAGGGTGTCTATACCGTATGTAGGTTTTGAGACAATTTTAGGGTGTCAATATACAAGTATTTACAGACTTACAGCTGGGTATCTCGAATTCCAAGGTAAACTTACTATAATGACTGAAAAAGATAAAATTAGAAAATCGGATTTCCTTCTTCTTCCTCAAGTTGATAAGATTTGACGAACTTTCATAGCATTGGCTACAACAAGTTGATCTGTTTCCTAGCACATGTTTTAGGTTCACATACAATGCTATAGCTACGGTTTTTTCAAGTTTGTATGCATGACTGACTTTTATTTCTTGGAACAACAAAACGTCTGACAAAATAATTATTTTTATAATTTTTATAATTATGTATCATTTGTATGTTTACAGTTCACTGCCCTTGTCCCTGTCGGATTCATGTAATTCAGGCTGCGATTGTTCCAGAGCCGATTTTGACCCGATATGTGGATTCGATCAAGTGATGTATTACTCGCCTTGTCATGCCGGCTGCACCCAAGAAGATTCCCATGGTAACATCAAGGTAACACTTCTGATATATATATATATATATATATATATATATATATATACGGTCAACCCTCCGTTAACGCATATTCTGGAAACGCGGATTCCAATTATAGAGATAAAATTGCGGCAGCCTCTGATAACACGGACCTCATACAAAGGCTGTTGTTCAACAGCTCATAAGTTCGTTCTATGTCTCCTATGAATGCATTTTTTTAATATTGTTTGAACAACAATCAGAACCTCCAGAGTCCTGTCCTATGTCCTGCTAATATTACGTCGGTTTTTATTACAGATGGCAACCCAAAACGTTGTCTTTGTTATAAATTTTATTATTACAATTTCTATAATAGGGCAAATATTTCTATTACTGCAGCAATGCCGGATGATAGCTATTTTCACTTATCTCTCAATAAATGACTCTATTGATCTAGATTCTAGATATTGCAAGAGGCTTTAATTTGTTATTAAAAGGTTAAACAACAAACAATCTTCAAAGACAATAATATGAATTTCAATATATGTCTGTAATTTTTATCATCTTTTTAGAACATATGTTAGTAGCGATGAATCTCAAAATGCAAAATTACCTCAAAATATGTTCATGTTGGAGACGAGGCAGAATTATTCTGCTTATATTTCTGTACTTATATAATCTTACAATCATAACAAAACTTGAGTCAATTTCAATTCGCAAAGACGTGTTTTGTATTGTAACATCCTAAATTTTAAATTATTTTTACCAAATATTATCAATATGAATCCAACAAAAATATTAAAATGTATAATTTGCTTTTAAAATATTTGTTGTCAATGAAATATAATTGTAAGCTAATTTTTTCCAATTCCCAACTTTTCACGATAAAAAGAACTTTATTATCAGCGAATAACTTAAAATATCAGTGCACACTACTAGCCTATTTTCGATTATTTTTTATTAGAGGTACTAATAAAATTAATTAAAGATATTACTACAAAAAATTAAAATTATAAAGAAATCGAAGGGATCAGATTGGAGCGAATTTTTTTTTAACGTGATTGTAAATATTCAATTCGTCCGAATAAAAACTATGGGTAATTTGAGATATCCTTTCTATTATATATTTACATGTTTAAAAGTTTTATATTTACTAGAATATTGTATACACATACATAATTCTAATTGCCTAGTTGTTATTTGTTAATAATAATTTGTTTATTATCATAACTTAATTAAATATGAATTTTTGATATATTAATACACTATTAATCCAAGAACTGTATTTTGGAATAAAATTAGAATTAAATAAGTTTTAACAATCTAAAACTAATTCATTTTTATTGTACAGGTATATTCCCAATGCCGTTGCATAAATTCAGAAAATAGAAAGGTATGGAAGCAAGACGATGAATCGAAAGAATATGATGCCGCCAATGTAACTTGTGATTCAACTTGCCCCCATTTACCACTATTTGTGGGCCTGATGGTCTTTGTAATGTTTTTCACATTTTTGTCTACAATGCCAGCCTTGTCAGCAACTTTGCGGTACGTATAATTTAATTAAATTATTATAATATAGATTTTACATTGCATCTATATTAATTAAGGATATAGGATGTAACACTAAAAAAAATTTCTATTTTGACGATTGTATTCTTTCGTGGATTAGTGGTTAGAATTGTGGACTTTGCGTTGAAAATTTCAGGTTCGATACCCTCCTCGGACAGCTTGATATAAAGCAGTAGTGACTTCGAATTACACTTGGAAATATAGATAGCAATATGATGCCAAGAGAAAATGGCCTTTAGGGGCATTGCTGCAATATAAGAAAGGCGGCCGAAAGGTTGCCTTTTAAAAGCGTTCATGTATTCAAAATAGAATAGTTATCTGAGATGATAAAAACAATCTCAATCTTAATAGTAAAAAAATGCATTGGTACCCCACCTTGCGAGCTTAATTTGCATGTCAAATTGCTCGTATCTCAAAGCAATATTATCTAAGCAAAATCTTACTGTAATAATTTTATATATTTTTATAATTTAATATATAAATATTTTATAATTATTTTCAATTACTATTTCTAAAATATAGATGTGTGAGAGACGAACAAAGATCGTTTGCATTGGGAATTCAATGGATAGTAGTACGTCTGTTAGGAACCATACCAGCCCCAATGCTTTTTGGAGCACTCATCGATGAAAGTTGCATACTATGGCAAGGAGACTGCGACTCCGGTGGGGCTTGTCTTGTTTATGATAATAAAAATATGAGCAGGTATGAAAAACACGAACACAAGCATATACACACACAAACTAAGAAAATAAGATATTTTAATTAAAACACGTGTAGAATATATTCGCATCTTTTAAATATTTGGATGTGAATTAATAAATTATGTATTGAAGTAAGAGTTTAAGAGCAATAAATGGTTTTTAATAAATATTTCCATACTTATATACAGATTATGGCGATAACGACGAGCCTTATGCTTACTCGTCGCTCTTGCAAAGCGACTTTATATGGGCGTTCTTGTACCGGCAGCGCGCGTACTAGCTTAAGTTTTTCCAGCTTTTCACCGAAAGTTCCACTTGCATTTAAAAGAAATTTTTGAATAACAGAAGAAAAATGTACAAGCTTTCGAATGATGCTAATTTAAAAGTAGTCAAAAGAGCCGCACTGGTAGAAAATGGAAAATGAAAAATCATTTTAACCTTTTCACGCACTAACAAATAATTTTTTCCCATTATTTGTTATGGAGAACATAGACAAGATCAGTACAAATAGAATGACGTTAACAATTTTTCGATATATCTCATACTTCTTCCGACAAAAAGTGAGTTTGACAAAAGAGGACACTTTCACATGTTTTCACTGATATCTCGGCCAAATGATGAGCTACGGATTTGAAATTTGGTATTTCGAATTTTCTCGAAAATACCTATAAAATGGCATCAAAATCATTTAAATACCAGGGTGGGGCCAATTCTATATGGAAACACGCCCAGACCCAAAGGGAACACCGAAAAAAACGCAATGGGTTTTAGACATAAGTTTATATATATAAAAAAAATGTTAAGTGTGAATTACAAAACTGGACCGATAATTTCATTTTAATATATTTGTAACTAATCAACTCTGCTAAAATCCGAGAATTAAAAATAGTCTTCAAATATAATTTCAATACATTTTTCAATTTTAGGTATATGGTTGGAGCAGCATTCATAGGAAAAGCTTGCTCGTTGATATTTTTCTTTGCTGCTTGGTGGTTTTACATTCCACCAAAAGCAATAAAGCCCCAAGCACAAAAATGAACTGCCAATGAATGGAAACCTTAATCATGTCGCAGAAAGGGATAAATATTAAACATAGTGCAAAACAATAAATCTTAAATCGAAGACAATTGTTTAAGGCAACAAAAAGACATTTGCTATGTGTAATTGCGTGTATTATTTTATGAATAACTCTGTAAATCAAGAATTAAGCGATCACACGAAAAACGTGATATCAGAAAATAAGGAAAAGAACATTTTTGTTCTGTATAATTATTTAGATGATTCTGATGATAATGTTAACCTGTAATTGTTATGATTGCTTTGATTACTTACATTATACAATAAATTATATTGTTTTCCAATTGGCATTTAAGTAATATACATGTCAATTGTAACAAAGTATGAAAACATGGATGGTTTTTCAGTCATTGGACTGAAACTTTTCTAAACTACACGTATAAAGTAAATTTCGCGAAATTTAATTAGGTTTATATAAAAAATATTTCTAATAGTTGCAGCCTATCTTTGCATTTTTCTTTCTCAAAAATGTAGAGCATTTTGTTTGCATTCTTATTATTTATTTTTATGTTTTACTTTACTCCACGGTTATGTTGAAAAAATTATATAATTAATAATTTGTGGAACCTAAATAAATGTTATTAATAATCAAAGAAAAATGCTAAGATCAATTTAATTATTTATAATCCATACCCATAAGTGACTGATTGATGTTTGAATGTTTTATTAATAATGCGAAAGCGATAATTATTAGCTATAACAATTAGATATTATAACATTTTGGCAGTATTTGTCTAATTTAGCAACGTTTGATTTATGTGATTTAAGTGAAAGAAAAATATGATTGTATAATGTTATATCGTCAATTGCTGCATGATTATTTTAAAAGAAATAAGAATTTATAGATTTATATATGCGAGTTTTGTACAGTATTTATTAATAAATGTATAATCGTAATCAGTTGTTTTTTATGTGACTACATTCTTCTAGTCGTCTAATTTGCATTGGAACACATAAACCACCATTGTATTCATACATGATAAACTCGTTCAAATTTTTTTCAAATATTTTGAAATCTTTTTTGGTTTTCTTCTGATACTTATTGTAAACTGAAATCAAAATCTAGCTTTCTAACATTTTGGAACTACCAACTAACATTTAAAAAAACTGAACATTTTTTCGTTAATAGTTAAAATATAATTCCATGGATTAGGTTTGTATATCAGAATATCAACCCTTTCCACTTGGATGCCGCCGCTCCGACGGCAAAATTTATATAAATCTCGCAATTCGCGAGAGGAAAGGGCTAAATTTTGCGACTCTAAGCTCTAATATATTTAAAAATTATAAATACATTTATGAAATACGTATGATTTTTTGTATAAGAATTTGAAAAATATTCGTATACGCAAAATAAAATTTTACAATTGAAAACACTAGATTTTTTTAATGTAAAAAAATCAATATATTTATAGGAATCAAAGAAAAGTAAAAACAGATAAAATCATCAAAAAAACCCAAAAATTTATTCTTACAATAAGTACTTTTTCGGAATCCAAATTTTGTTGACTACCATAATCTCAAAACAAGATCTTTTTACTTTCTTAATTAACTTCCCGTAGGATAAGTTATAGTAATCTCAAAAAAATCAAATATAAAATTTTTGCATATCTTCACGTTTCTAAGTCTTCTGAACATTTTGGCATGCCTTAGAAAAAATAGATGTGATTGTGTATGTGTGTGTGTGTAAGTATGTGCGGATACAATTTTTCGTTCACGATTTCGGGCGCAGGCATCAACCGTTTTAAATGAAGAAGAATGATTGAAAAAACAATCGATTACTATTGATGGGAAGACGTGCTGATTAGTTGTTGGCGAAAACAGGTCAAAGTCTAACCGTTTTTTTTAAAGATACGGGTCGAAAAGTGCAAAGAATGGTAATTTTGTTTTTGAGGCAACGGAGCGCTCATGCTTACTTATCTATGGAAGCGCTCGATTTGAATGATTTAAAAAAAAAATTTACTTGTATTGACGATTGAATAGTATATATTTATTATATTATATTAGTGACAGGTCCGGCGATTTCGGAGATACAGAGGCAAAAATAAAAAAAAATCGCGTTCAAAAATGTTCATTAGACATATGCACATCAAATTATCAGATATTTTATAAAGATTTTAAAAATGAGTACTACTTTTATTGCATTTTTTTGAGTTCCATTCCAAGATTTTTAATATTTTAAGGTTCTTATATGATTCAAATTAATTTAAAAATTTATAAAAGATTTTTTTTTCAAAATTTTCAAAAATGAACGAAGTTTTATACTTTCTTTATTCATTGTAAATTTACAATTCAGTTTAAAAATGTATATATTTTATATGCGTTGTTCTAATCGTAAGAAATATATCCCAAGATGGATTAATTTGGCATCTCTTGTTAACGTAAACATTCTTAAGTGTCAAGTGATAAGATCGCCGCTATATAATATACAAGCGATAAAATATATAGCATAGATAAATAAGCGTAAGTATTTATACTTATCTATTTGAAAATATTTAAAACGATTGTTATTAATTATTATTGATCAATAATTACTGCTTTTTTATTTGTTCCCCTCGAATATATAATAATTTAATTCTGGTCCAGAAATTTCAAAAATAAAACTTTTACTTTGCTATTGGTTACTCTGAAATTTTCTACATCGTGTTGCTAACTTCACTAATCACCTCATAAACAAGTAAATGACAGCTAAACGTCATGAACAAATAAATTGAAATGTTATGCGTTACGCCTTAATAAATGGAAGAAATATAATTTATATAGATATGGCACAGATTGAAGCATGTCAACTTTGTTTATGCAACACTAAATTGCTGAGAGGACTTAACAAAGAAATCGAAAGCTTAATTAAAACCAAAATATTAGATTATCTATCTATTAACGTAAAGTTTTCGCTACAGACGTAACAAATCAAACAAGCAACTTATATGAGGATTTATTGTTTCAGATTCACTATAAAAATAATACCCCGATAGTAATTTGTGAGGACTGCCTAAATAATTTAAATCAATTTCATATATTTGCACAAACAGTTAGTCTCATTTTACATACTTCTTTGAACCTTCACTAATTTTTATATTATCAATTAATTGTGTAATTAAAAATTTATTTGTTTTAAATATTTATTATAGGTTTATTTAGCTCAGAGAAATTTTCAAAAAAAATCAAAATTGTTTAAATATGAAACAACAAATATTGTAAGTCAAATATCTTAAAATGTATTCTGTATGCATTGATTATTTTATTCTTATAATGTTAAATTCGTTTTTGAAGGAAGATAATCTACCACTATCGATGCAAAAGCAAAGAAATAATATGATATCCCAAATAGAATTTAATAATCCAAATGCAAAAACGCCAAATTATATAAATAAAGATTCTGCCAAAGTTAAATCTGTGGATAATGAATGTAAGTAGTAAAGAAAACAAAACCACAAATGGTTTAAGGCATAATTTCAATATATAATAATATTTAAATAGTTTCAAGTTTTTTTTTCAAATGTATTTTAATTCATCTGCTGATTTTATTGTTATGTATAAAAGAGTCATCTACCGTTTGCTATTTTTTATACACAGAAAATATTGATTATAAAATGTTTTATATTCTAAATTCAAATGTTTGTTTGAACCTAGCAATTGGTATTTTATAACACCCTTATTATGTTATTTTGTTGCAAAACAATATTGATAGAATTTTTTTTTCAGTGAGCATAAAAACTGAATTTAATTTAAGTGATACGGAACAGTATTATGAATCTGACGATGAGGATATGTTGACTGAATCAAATCAAATAAGTTTTGACAATAGCACATTTCCCAAAGAACTTATTAAGAATTGTAGATTAACTATCACTGGAAAAAAATTGGACAATATGTTAGCAACATTCTTTGGTTTAAAATGTAACATTTGTATCAATACAACATGTTTTACGTATGTTATGAAATAATTCGTATTTAATTTTCATTTTAATTTAGTTTACGAGAATAATAATTTTTAGGACTATTTCCAATTTGATAAAACATTATGAAGAAGTCCATAATACAAAAGGCTATGTTCTTTGTTGCGGTCAAAAAATTACAAGGCAGAAGGCAATGGCAATGCACATGGCAAGTCATATTCAACCAGAGGCTTTTACGTAAATATAATTTATAATTGAACATCAATTTTTTGTTGCTTCTATCATTTTGTTTTCCTAACATTAGTTGCCAGTTCAGATACAATATCTGCAACCACTGCAGAATACTACCAGTATCTGAAATTTTTCAATTCTTGAAATATTTTTTACCATCCACTTCATTAATCAAAAATAATTAGTTAAAGCAATGTACACAAAGTATAAAATGACAAACTAAAATAAAATACTGAAAATTTCATCCCTGATAATTGAATGCAAAAAATACCAATGCATTGCCACCACTCTTTACAAAGTCCTACTTAATACAATAAGATTGAAACACTAGTTTTAATTAACATTTGTATTTTTCAGTTGTACCATTTGCAATAAGATATTAACCTGCCCTAAAATATTGCAAAATCATATACAGAATCATTTACCAGAATCACAGCGTCCTTTATGTTGTCCAGAACCAACATGTTCAAGACGTTTCAGTTATTACAGTGCATTAACAGCTCATCAGGCATCACATTTAAATGAGGAGGAAAAGATAACGCATATTTGTGAAGAGTGCGGTAAAATGTAAGTTGTATGTAGATAGTTTATAGTGAAATAAGAAAATGCTATTCGGCTGATTATGAGTAGCTAGAGTATAAACAAGTATTTTTTTTTGGTTTTTCATGGAGAAATTAATTTATTTTACATAGCTATCACACTGTCAATGAACTTTTGAAGTTAGTAGATAATTAACTCACTATTTAAATTGAATAAAAAAACTGAACAGTTATCTGAAATTATTAATTATGGCATTTGATTCTTTACACTTACCTCCAATGTAAATTGCTGGTCCTGTTCTTAATAAATGCTGCCACCATTTGTATGATATGATTACTTTCAGTTTTGGTACTGCGAGTGCTCTCTCGACACATATAAACAAAACTCACAAAGTCAACCAAAAAGATAAGTACAAATATGTATGCCACATATGCGCCCATAGGTTCAGTAATTCAGGAAACCTTGGATATCATCTCGGCACACATGAACAAAATGTTCAATCAAGTGCAATGTCCAGAATGTGGCAAATGGTAAGAAAATAATATCTCACTAGTATAGCTAATTATTTATAGGTCCTTAAGTTCACTGTAATTGCATATTCTAAGGTTCTGTTGATATTTATTATCCTGTCAGGTCCAAAAACAAGCAATGCTTAGCCAAACACATGACACAACACACTGAGGCTCCATTAAGCTGTGAATTTTGTACTTACAAAAGCAAATCTAAACAAGCCTTACGATTGCATACTCAAAACAACATCACATAGAAGGAAAGCACTACAGTTGTGATGTTTGCAACAAGACATTCAAGATGAAATGCACTTTAAATGTAAGTTTTTAGTTTAGTTACATAATTCTGTTTCATTTGTCTATTATACTTCTAAATTTTAGGCACATGCTGCACAACATACAGGGGAAAGAAAATATAAATGCAATTTCTGTGAAAAAACTTTTGTCAATTCAGGCAATTTTATGCACACAGGAAAAGAATGCATTCAACAAAATTGAAGGAGTTTTATGAAGAACGAGACCGATTAGAAAATGAAGAAAGGTATTTTTTCTCATTTTTGCCATAATTATGAATAATTAATGATATATCATTTGTAAATTGCAGGATGAAGATGTTGGACAATCAAAACATATGAATGAAAATGTTTTAATATAAATATCTCAGACCATCAATCATACTTTTTTATTATAATAGTATGCATAGCAAATACAGTGACTACACATTATGACAGCTCCTTGAAATCTGTTATTTAACAATTATAATTAATTATACATATTAATCGATTTCAAATAAATGTTTTACATTCATTGTAACATAGTTGCTTTAAATTTCAGAGTATACCCCTAAAATATTCACCAAAATAACATAGAAATAACATTTATTACACAAATAACTCCCTAGAACAGAATGAATGTGTATTGTTTATGTAAATTGGTGATTGCAAAATAAGAATGCAGTTTACTATAAAGAGAAGAATTCAATTACAACAACCTTATTACGACAAACATTTAAGTTTCGACATATTTTTAATTGAGATGTGCTAACAGTTTAGAGTTTTACATCATGCAATTAAAAGAAATCATGCATGCACTTTATTTCAGTAAATCACTGCCACGGCACTGTAAATCAGTAGTGATCAATACTCATCTCAATCAAATCAAATCAAACAAAAGCGAATTTACACTAATTGATCGTGGAAGTGGTCCTGGAAATAATTATCGAGTAACACTAAAAAGAACTTGTAACTTTATTGAATTATGTAAAAGAAAGGTTGACTTACACTTGCTCACAATGAATTTACTGTCTAGAAATTGGCATTGAACTTTTCAACGCTGACACTTATACCTTAAAAAAACAATGTTATTGGCAAGCTAATATTAGTGATTTATCTTCAACTCTGTAAAAGAACTAGAAATGATACACGTACATTCTGTCAAACCAAATTTATTATAATAGAATTTAAAAAAAGATAATATAAATTAACGGTATGACTTTTGGTAACGTGCACGGGCACCTGGACCTCCAATTTCTTTGGTTCGCAAACGGGGATCTGCCTGATAGCGTAAATTTGTGCGACGTGACCTCCTCCATTTACTCGAACGCGGATATCAACACCGGCAAATTTTTCTTGCCTAAAAGTAGAATAGGCTCCTGCAACTTGTATGGAGAACTTTTGGCTCCACGAGTTCCAAAGGACGTCCATTTACTCGCAAATTTCCACGTCCACGCTTACAATAGGCAACAGCGGTGGCTGTCTTTTTTCTGCCAAAAACTTGGACAGCATGAATAGGTTCCCTCTTTTGTTTCTGCATTTTTAAATTAATATTTTTCACGAATGCACGTGTTCGATCAACCACAAGCTGAGCACAGAAGGTAAAAGGAAATTAAATGGCCGTCTTGCGTCGAAGTAGATTTCGCAGTGATGCCACACTAGCAATACGAAAATCACGTTGGCCACAATGGCGGAATAGAACAGTTTAGCAACTGTCAACTTGCTGTCACTTTGACATGTCTATAAACATGTATTTAATTCCAGATTTTTATAAACAATAAGATTTATTATTTATTAGTTACTTTTATAATAATAATAATAATAATTTATTAAGATAATTTAATAATAATTCTTATACAGTTTCAATTTTAAATTAAACATGAACAAAAATGAAGAAGTTAAAATCATTTGTGAATTACGCAAATTGATTAAATTATATAGTCCTCAGGTAGACCAAATTTCTATAATTTTCACAAAACCAAATTTTGTATTTGGTTGATTTAATATTATTTAGTTCATATAAAATGTAGGCTTTAATAATTGATTTCAAAGAAAATCATACTAAAATAATAAAATATTTTGATTAGTGATTTGGATGCACATACACATGAAATACAAGTGAAATTATTATTATCAGATATTATTTTAGGTCTCAAAAATATTGAATATTAATCATGTGCCTCTAGTGAAATTTTATGTTAATTTGGATATCATGCATTAATTTGTAATAACAAGCACTAATCTTTTTACAGGACTGTGATTCTGAACAAATATCTACTTTTGAAAATTTTGGAATAAACATAATAAAAAATCATAGATTTTTATCAGTGGATAGCCATGCGATTACACGTTCTATGTCAGGTTTAATAGAAAAATTTAAATTACATGGTCATAATGAAGCTTCGGATCAATTGAATAATTTATATAATAAATTTATAAATAATCCATATTTTGAAAACCATCCTCAGGTTGAAATATATGTATCTAAGCAATACTAATTTTTAACAATTTGATAATGTTTTGATTTTATAGTTTGATTTAAAGTGGACCTTGTTATCTTTAACTATACATGCTGCATATAATCCTACTGGTTCAGTGCCCGATAATTTGCAAAGTAAACAATCTACATTCAAATGTTTAACACTACACGAAGAAGAAACTATAGATTGGAAAAAAATTCTTGCAGAAGATCTGAATTTAAGAACTGATTACGATAGTGAATCTCTCAGTGTTAGTATTACTTTTCTATCTGTTTTTTGTTTAATTATTTTCGAAATGAATCCGACATTCATAATAGGAATGGAGTGATGATGATGATGATGATGATGATGATTATGAAGATTATGAGAATGATAATGATGATGATTTTGAAAATGTGGAAAGTAGAGATACTTCAGAAAACAAACCAAAACAAATTACAGAACCAAAGCCAAAACAAACTTCAGAGCAATGCACACAAACAAATTTTCGTAACTCTAGATCTGCAAAACTTAGTAAAGAAAGAAAACAAGCAGGTAAAAGTGCCAAACCAGATCATTGGTTACTTTTGGAATCATTGCAACTGCCATGGTGGGAACATGGTACCACCTATGAGGCTCAGAGCTCTCATCCAGCAGCTAATTGGGCAACCACTCGGTAAAATTAATAAGCTCTAATTATTTGGTTTTTGCTATGCTTAGTTTTTAGTTACTCAAAAAATAGTTCAAAATATTTTGCAGTAATTCTTATTGAAATATGGTATATATATATATATATATATATATATATATATATATATATATATATATATGAGAGTTCTTGAGGGCGATACATCAAATGGTATCGCCCTCAAGAACTCACTCATATATTTCAACATCAAAATTAACTACTAAATCATATATATATATATATATATATATATCTGATTCAGAATATTAGATTGTTGTTTTGAAGTTAAATTTTTAACGTATTTTAAAAGATGCAAAGAAATTACATATTTCCTGAACTAACTAAGCATATCTTCAAAGTTCAAAGTTAATCAGATGCGAAACATTTTCAACAAATGCAAAAGTTACAATTAAGTTTCTCGGTGTTATAGTCATTTTCTAAACACTGACTGACTACCTATTTCCTATTTTTCTCTATTATAATTTGTATCTATTTTTTTTAACAGGTTCCGTTCAAACTAAATCACCTTGCAATTTTTCATCAATAATGCGCAATAATTTAAACTTTTGTAAGTTTGCGCTTACGGTATTGAACACTAAATAATTTCTTTTTCGATTCCACATTAACTTCGATCTAAGAAAAATTTAATAAGTTCGTTAAATAATAAGCAGAACAATAATTTACTAATTTGCATGAGTAATTAATTGTTTCTACAGATATCACATTGCAAACTGAATATGCTTTCTATTTCTACGTACCCATAGTTAAGTTAGATTGTTTATTATAATCTATTAAGTATTCTAGATTTTATATTAAAAAAAAATGAATAATATATTAAAAAATTTATTTCCGAATCTTGATTTGGCGCCCCATCAGGCGTGCGCCCGCATTTTTTGCATGCATCGCATATATATATATATATATATATATATATATATATATATATATATATATATATATAGTATATATAAATAACCAAACTACAAATTTATGTTAAATATTTATATATATATGATGAAAAAATCAATTGAAACCTATTACAGGCAGGCACATGTTGAATCCTTATCATATGGATTAGTGAACTCTGAGAACATTTATACCATATCTGAATATTGTGTCCTGAGAGAGTTAATGTGGTTATTACATGAACCACTAACATCCAATACGTGTCGTGTATTTTTTAGAGATGAAGATAATAAATTTAAAGTGCACAATAATGTTACTATTCCAAGTTTGCCTCCTGTAAGTCATTTTAGTTTAATATCTTAATGAAAAACTATTTTTATTCATTGTTATTCTCTACTTTCAACAGGATAGTTTTGAAAAATATGTTCAGCCCTTTTGCGAGTGGTTGGATATACTATACACTATGGAAAGCTTTTTTGATTCAGTAATCGAGGATAATGAAATACGAGCACCATTCACTTACAAAGCATATCGTGAATCAATTATACAACTTTTACAGCCAATTAAAAACTTTATGATGGAATTGGAAAATAAAGTAAGAGCACAAGGTAATTTATAACTATGTATATAATCTAATATTTTATTATATCGAAATATAAATAGGTAATAGAATTGAATTTTTATCTTTTCTTTTCAGATGATGTGTTCACTATCTTGACATTAAGAACAAATTTAGTCCCCTATATGGACAAAATTCATACGTTAAATATCATTCATAAGGACTGCATTCTAGATTGGCACAGCACACCTGCAAATGTATGTGTTACTAATTTATTAACAAAGCTGTACAATAATTGTCATATTGCTGAAGCAGAAATTGCCTCATTTAGCTTTATCATTTTTGTAAACTGTATAAAAGTTTATTTGAATATAATAACATTGTGGTTGAATTCCGGGGGTTTGGAAGATTGGCAAGATGAATTCACTATAGCTAGGTAAAAAACTACAATTGAGTTGAATATAGGTCGAATTTCATATGATTTAATATGATATTTCATTTAAAGCGAAAATAAAGCTAATGATAAACTGGGCGATTATTATCTAAGAAGTATGGATGAATATGAAATTTATAAACAGAATCAAATGCTAAGCACTCTCATGAATAAAGTTTTAAATGCTGGACAAAGTATTAGAATCCTGCAAAAACTTGGGCATATTAAAGATATTTCAAAAACAACAAAATTAAAAGGTAATTTTAAATTTATACAATATTTTTGAACAGTTCATTCATTATTTTAATATTGCAGAAAATTTATTCAAATCCTTCTTCCGTGAAATATTACAAGCCTTGCCACCAAATTTAAATAGAAATCAATTTTTTCGAAAAACTGGCATTAACAATGAACCAAATAAATTATTGTTTATGCCAGATATTCATAATTCTTTATTAAAAGAAGTTTTCAAGAGACATGTGAGAGAGATTCGACCACGTATAATCTACAATGAAGAAACAAATTATGTTGATGAATTATGTGCCAGGTAACCATATTTATTTTTGGATTAAAAACAATAAAACAAATATCAAATAATTTAAAAAAATTCTACATAATTTGGCTCTACATTACAGAATGAAATTGGCACCGAGTCGTCCATTAGAATCTATATTGGATAAAGCTTTAAACGAAGTTCTAGAAAGCAATTGCAACGAAACATGCAAATTAGTAGTAACAGTTTTGAAAGAAGATTTTGATCTTAGTAAACATTTGGATGCATTGCAGAATGTGATGATAAATCAGACAGCAGGAATATTATTTAATTTCTACTTTCAGTTATTCACTGAGGTATTTTCAACTTTGAGATAAATTTGATAATCTATAATTCATGTGATGCTTTGCTAATGTATTTCTTATTTATTAATTATTTGTTTAGATGGATGAGGGCGATGAATGGCAAAGTCCTTATTATATGAACTGTAAACTAGAAGCATTTCTTTCGTATACTAAATTCTGTAATTTGACACATTTATTTTGTGTTCATTTAACGAATCCATCAGCAACTTATACCAGTAAATTAAAAGCATTGAGTGATATAAAGGTATCATACAGCATAGTATATCCAATATCTTTGGTTATTTCTGAAAGAATCTTAAAAAAATATGATGAATGTATGCAATTTTTATTGAAACTTAATTGGTGTACATGGGCATTAAGAAATTTGATATTTTCAAGTAAGTGAAAAAATTTGTTATTCAAAATTACTACATTCAAAATAAAATAAATAATTTGTAGATGGACTTAGACGCCATACTTACGTTCGAGCTGTAGAGGTGGTATCAAAGAGATTGCAAGTTCTTAGATATTGGCTATTGCATAGTATAGGTTCTGTTTACAGGTAGAAATATTTACAAGCAGAAACAATTTATTAAAATTACTTTAATTTATGTTTTTCTTTTTAGTTACATATACGGCCAAGTTCTAACTGTAGCAAAGGCTTGCTTACAAAACAAGATGGAATCAGCCATAGCGCATGAGGACCTTTATTGCGCCCACGAACAATTTATTAATTATGTTCACGATCATTGTTTTCTAAGTAAAAAATATAAAGCAGTGTTAAATGTTATATTACAGGTTTGCATACTATCCTTTCATCTAAGAAAACAAAAATAATTTGTAACTGTTTACTTTAATAATGTTTGAGAGTATTCAAAGTAATTTAATTTAATTTATTGGCCAAAGTAAAGGTAACCACCGTTTAAACAGTAATTACCGTTAAAAAACTACAGTATTATTGGAATGCATATTATACATTGCAAAGGAGAACAAAAAAAGGGAAAATGTTCCAATAATTCGAAAGTACTTGTTACATATTATAATTTCATATTGATATATTAAATATTATTTTTCGTATTTAAGTATTATGACCCTGTCTTTTACGATACCCACGATTTCTCTGCTTCTACTGAATAGATAAACTTCTCTTCAGTATGAACTCTATGAAAATTTGACAATATCAAAAAAAAAGGTGTAAGGACAATATTTTTTCAGATAGTTGCTATTTTGTGAAAAAACATTTTTAATTTGTCCGTAACAACTTGAACTAAATTGAGCATGTTTATTCAGATGATATATAATAAACAGGTCAAAAAGCATAAAATTGGTCAAAGAAGCTTTGAATTTGCACAAAATGGTGATTTCACGCATTTGATAGGAATTAGTTATATAAAATTTTGATGTGGACCTCATTGTTGGCACAATGAAAGTTGGATGCATTTTTCTTTGAAAATAGTTATTAACAAAATGAATGAAATAAATAGGAATAAATTTTAATTTGAATTTAGAATAATTATTAATAATACAGATGGAAATAATAATATTCTATTTTATTATATCTCTGGCATATAATCATAGTTTTTATATTTAAGATAATATTATAAATTCTTTTTTTTACAGCTTTTTCAAATGGTTGAAGTGATACGTTCAGAGTGGGTACACAAATTTGAAAATACATATGGCTTCAGTGATAGTCATTATTATGACGTTGTAAAGGATTTTGAACAAATTTGCACTATGGAAACTATATTCGTCAGATGCCATTCTTACCTCCATTCAGTTTCTCAAAAAAGCTCTCAGGATAACAATGCACGTAAGTTATACTCTATTGTTTATATAAGTAAGAAATAGATACAATCAGTTGTTGTCTCAATTTTTTATATATCTAATATCTCCTTTTTGTTTTTTCTTTACACTCTTTATGTATAGCTTCATTGTTGTTGTGTATTTGTCATAATTCTATAAAAATAATCGATCTATATTTGTTTTTATTTCAGTGAGTAATCTCTGCTGCGCTTTTGATTTCGATATACCTAAAGCATATAGCAATATCACATGAAGATATATCAATTTTAATATTAATATTATATTTTTGTACCAAACTTATTATGTAATTGATCTATTTATTAAATTATCTTATTTACTAGCATATGCTTTTTCGTTATGTGTTGAAAGAGATACCCAAAAATCATAAGGTACTATTTATAATCCACCAAACGCTAAAGGCAAGTGATAAAAGGAATCTGAATTAATAACAAGACATTGGTTGCAATCTAGCCATTTCATTCAATTGTGATAACGCACAGTTATATCATCAATAAAAGTAACTAATGTAAAAACTGTAGTTTTTTGCATTTGACTTCAAAATAAAATTAAGCAAAGTGATTTAATATAAAATACAACCTCAAGTTGAGATTTAGGTTTTTACTGTCAATATTAATACAACATAGCTTCAAAATAAATTTAAATTCCTATAGTAACTAGTAAATTTGTATTGAATAATTATTTATGTAAAACGATATGAAACATACCTCCAGGTGGTTAAACCAATAATTTATCATGCACATGTTTTTCATCGAGTATAATACGGATGCCTATTATTCAACACTACATGCCATTTATTGTATTTGCACATTGCAATTTTATAGTCCTCCACAATTGGTCTATATTGCAAGATACTAAACATTTTATTTTCAACAACTTTCCCACCAAAGCAAAGCGTAAACCATGGATGTTTCAAGTGACATGTTCTATTCTTGCATCAAATCTTGCATTTTAGTAATTGTTGTTATTCTTCTAGTTTTATGTTATTGGTAGATGTAAGATATTTGCCCATATTTGACTTCACATTTTCGAAGCCTTTTTTCATCAAAAATACTATGCATCCTGCAAATAAATATGAAACATGATTAAATACACATAGCTGATAAAAATTAAATTTTAACTTTTATTATCCTTACCTTTATTATTATAAAAAAAGTCTGGACACGAAGCTAAAATTTGATATGTTGACAGAAAAATGACAGCATTGACAGCCTCCAAAAACCGACTAAGCCAGGGCCACACTTTCTGGGAATATTTTAAACAAATTTGTAAATTATTTTAAAAAGTCCAAAAAACACATTCTATTTTTTTAACTTCCCGTAGGTTATTGTAATCGTCCAAAAATCGAAATTAAATTTTTTAAATTTTTTCGCGTTTTGACGGTTTCTGAACATTTTGGCATAAATAAAAAAAAATTGATGTGCGTGTGTATGTATGTGTGTGTGTGTGTGTGTGTGTATGTATGTATGGATACATTTTTTCGTCCACGTTTTCGGGCGCACGGATCAACCGATTTGAATGGTTCAAAAAACATTTGATTTCTATCGATAGGGAGACGTGCTGATTAGTTCTTGGCAAAGGCAGGTTCAGACGCTTCGAAGATGCAGAGCAAAGAGTGCAGATAATAGAAATAGAATTTTTGAGACAACGGGAGCATCCGATTTGAATGATCTAAGAAACATTCAATTCGTAATGACGGGGAGAAGTCGTGATTAGATTTTGGCAAAGGCAGGTCCAGCCGTTTTGGAGATACCGAGCTAAGTGTGCAAAAAATGGCAGTTTAAGAGAACTAAGCATCCGATATGTATGACTCAAAAAACTTTCTGCTTGTTTTGACAAAATAATTGCTTTTGGAAAAAAAACTATTTCAATTTTTTTGTATATCGAAAATAATTCAGATTTTGATTTTAATTTTGGCTAAAATTCTAAAGCTCACTTATGTACTTTAAATAAATAATTTTAACTTTGTAATTCAGTTTACATTACTCTTATAAATATTAGACAATGTTACAGTTTTTATAATAATCTATATGAAAATATTTAATATTTTTCGAACATTTCGTTACGGTACGGGAAGATCCAGAAACTTGCCTTAAAGCACGATGCCACACACAACTAGTTTTAATTGTAATATTAATTGCACTTGCTCAGATAATACAAGTATATGCATTTATATTTCAAGAATACATTAAATTAATTTATTTAACACATTTTATTTCATTCATTTCGAGTTCCTTAAACTTAAAATGTATTTTAAGTATAGACGTCAACTGTAATCAGTAAAAATCATGAAAGGCATAGATTAAAACAGGGCTTCTTAAACTATGAGTCGCAACCCCAAATAGGGGCGCGTAAAAAAATTCTGGGGTTGCAAGAGTTTTCAATTGCAATTATCATCATTTCGTAACATCACGTCTAGGTATTTGTATGTTTTACAACAAATTATAAAACTGTATATTTTCATATGTATCTGTATATGAAAATACAGTACTGTACATTTTCATATGTATCTGTATATGGATATTTTTACCAATAAATAAATCATCTAAAAATATTATTTTTTTATATGTGTGGGGTCGTCAAAAAAGCTCGCAATCTTAAATGGGGTCGCAAAAGCAAAAGTTTAAGAAGCCCTGGATTAGAATCATGAACGGCATAGAATTCTGATTAGAATCACTAATATGTTTAGATAAAATCTATTGTCATATAAAGTTTCATCAAAATTGTCGAACAAAATGCTTTGGACATTTAATTTGGATTTGGAAGAAACGGTCTGGACGATCTTTGCCAAAAAGTAATCAACACGAAAACACGCTACCTATCTTCTAATATCTTTGAACAGTTTTTTAATTTTCAAAATCGCTCCAAGATCGTCGGCTAAAATATGGACGAAAAATTTTACACTTTTCTGTGAATTACAAAGAAGCGGCTTGGCCGATCGCCACACAAAACAAACGCTAGTCCTTATCGAGTTACATCGAATGGCTTTTAAAGTTTTTAAATCGGTTCAGCCGTTTTTTTAGAAAACGTCGTCGAAAGATCAGATATCGGTTAATATACACACACACACGAAATATATTATTTACAAATTTTCATTCGATAATTCGATTCAGAATGACTTGAAACGTCGAGAAAACATAAAATAGCAAATCGGATTTTTTCGAGAAAACAAACTTCTTCGAAGAAGTTATTAAATTTTCCCATTTCGTATTGTTCAATAAATGGTCATCCATCCAGGCGATAATTGATCAAGCAACACATAAAAAGATCGATAAGCGGACGATCAGACCAAAGTGTATCTATCTATCTCTGTATTGACCAGTTAAATTAAATAACAAATATTATTATATTACTCTCCCATATTTTTTTTTTTGCTAGAAAAGCACATTTTCGAAAAAAAACGAAATGCCCGACTATCGGCCTCATGTATTCTTTTCAACATATTGTTCACAAATATCTAAATTTTGAAATATTCATTTAATTATCAACATATTGTTCACAAATATTTTTAATTAACTTATTTAATTTTAAAACAGTATTTTTAATTAACTTCGCTTATACTTCGCTTATACTTATGTTTTCTGGACGTTTCAAATCATTCTGAAACGAATAAGATCGAATTTGGAAAAGTGTGTGTGCATGCGTGTGTATATGTGTGAGCCGATTTTTTACAGGCGTTTTCAAAAAAACGGCAGGTCCGATTCCAAAAGTTTTAAGACCATTTGATGAATCTCGATAAGGACTAGCGTTGATCAGTTTTGCGTGACGATCGACCAAGCTGTTTCTTTGTAATTAACAGAAAAGTGTACCATTTTTAGCCCTCGTTTTACCAACAACGATAGACTTCGTAGTCTGAAATAACATGCTAAAATATTATAGGTATACGATAAGCAATTGAATAAAAATTCATCGAAGTTTAGAATTTTGCCGTAGGCTTGAGCGATTCTAAGAATAAACAGTTGAGCATTTTACCTAAATAGCTAAAACTCAATCCTTATTGATTAAATTGATTATCAATAAGAAGAAAGTTAATGAAACTTGCCTTAAGGCATAATGGTACTTACAACTATTATTACAATATTTAAAATAATTACCTTTGACATTTCACCAGACGGCCTTGGGCAATACCAGCGAGATTTCAATTTTAGCTGTGACTGCTCTCCTGGTAAAATCCGTCGATTCGAAGCACAATTTGTATGAAAATGCTTTTGCTTGATGATAGTTTCACATAAACACATTTGACTAAATGCTGATACGTCGCCTTTTTGATCATTTTTTCTTTGTATTTTGGTGCAAAGATTCACGAATTGGAGGATATATTAGCAGCTTTTAGTTTCGCGTACTACCGCCCGACACCAGCCAAAAGATGTAAACGTTGCCGCCTGGATGCAAGGGGCATTAACGCGTTCCCGCGCAGGCGGAAAATTAAGATTTTGAGATTTTCTTAATTTTGAAAATTTATCAGGAAGTATTATGTACTTGCTATGAGTTGTTTCTGGTTGTTTCATTGCTATTGTTGGCATGGCAAAATCAAAGAACGTTTTGTTGAAAATTGAGCCCATTTATCTCATCCTAAAATGCCTATTTGTCCTACACATGCTGCAGCACAATAAATTCTTGAAAACTAAAACACGCAATATATAACGTAGCACCCTATTGATACAGCAATCAGTAATAGATAATCTATACTGTATCATATTTATGTTTTTCTGCCCAGTTACTGCTAATTTTAAAAGTTAATAAATATTCAATAAACTTGGCCTCATTTTGTTTTTTGATATGTAATGCATACATGCATCATTTTAATATCATTGTCTCTCCTGAAATGTTTCCTAAAGATAGTTCTTAATAAAATAGAAGATCGAGTAAAAACTCGCTAAATTTTATGAACTAAACTGAACAAAAATATGATTTTGGTAATCGGGACATGCCCATCAAGATTAGATTTTTTATTTACAATTAAAAGTATGATGATTAATAACAATAAATGTATTGATGAAGTTATAAAATATTTGAAGTAAACCCTATTTAAAAACAAATTAGAAGTTTTACTGAAATATTTTAGTCACAATAGAAATCACAAAAAAAATGAAAGTATGCAATAATAGTATTTTCATTAAAGGATTGAACAACAATTACAGCAAAATGTTACAATTATATTTCAATCAGAATAATGTATTTTCACATTTGACATATACTAGAGATAATTACCTATATATATATATATATTCAGATTTTTTTGTTTGTTTTAATCAGATATTAAAATTAATAAAGAGCCCGAAATTTGACTAACATAGCACATATGCTGAACACTGTTGTGGCATCTGGTTTAACACAAATCTGACAAATGGAAAATGGAAATAAAATTAAGTTTAACACAAAATCTGACAAATGGAAATAAAATAAAAAATAAGCAACTAATTGCCACTATAAATTATACAAAACTGCTCATAAAAGCTTTAAAACAATTTTAAAAAGTATAATGTTAATCACTTAACACTAATCAAAAGTTTGTCAATAGATATTTGGTTATTGATAATCAAAATTTTTTTTATCTAAATTTCTGACAATGTAATTCACAACTAACATGTTTATGTCAATATCAAAAAATCTATTTCAGTGACTGCTTAGTATTTAGAATGCAGTTTTCACTCATTTGTGGTTACACCATAAACTTAAGTACAAAATGTATTAAAACCTATGTTCTATTTTATTAATTATTAAAATTATGCATAAAATTAAGTCCACAGTTTTAAGTCCAATTGTCAGCTATGGTCAAAGGATTGCTATTGCAAAATCTTAGATGTAATTTGCTTTCAAATAGCAATGAGTAAGACTAAGGATCCGATTCGACTTATTGAGAAACTCGTGAGCAACAACGCGCCCGTTACTGATCACCGAAGCATTAATAAAATAGAAGATCGAGTAAAAACTCGGTAAATTTTATGAACTAAACTGAACAAAAATATGATTTTGGTAATCGGGACATGCCCATCAAGATTAGATTTTTTATTTACAATTAAAAAGTATGATGATTAATACAATAAATGTATTGATGAAGTTATAAAATATTTGAAGTAAACCCTATTTAAAAACAAATTAGAAGTTTTACTGAAATATTTTAGTCACAATAGAAATCACAAAAAATGAAAGTATGCAATAATAGTATTTCATTAAAGGATTGAACAACAATTACAGCAAAAATGTTACAATTATATTTCAATCAGAATAATGTATTTTCACATTTGACATATACTAGAGATAATTACCTATATATATATATTCAGATTTTTTTGTTTGTTTTTAATCAGATATTTAAAATTAATAAAGAGCCCGAAATTTGACTAACATAGCACATATGCTGAACACTGTTGTGGCATCTGGTTTAACACAAATCTGACAAATGGAAATAAAATTAAAAAATAAGCAACTAATTGCACTATAAATTATACAAAACTGCTCATAAAAGCTTTTAAAACAATTTTAAAAAGTATAATGTTAATCACTTAACACTAATCAAAAGTTTGTCAATAGATATTTGTTATTGATTAATCAAAAGTTTTTTTTTTCTAAATTTTCTGACAATGTAATTCACAACTAACATGTTTATGTCAATATCAAAAAATCTATTTCAGTGACTGCTTAGTATTTAGAATGCAGTTTTCACTCATTTGTGGTTACACCATAAACTTAAGTACAAAATGTATTAAAACCTATGTTCTATTTTATTAATTATTAAAATTATGCATAAAATTAAGTCCACAGTTTTAAGTCCAATTGTCAGCTATGGTCAAAGGATTGCTATTGCAAAATCTTAGATGTAATTTGCTTTCAAATAGCAATGAGTAAGACTAAGGATCCGATTCGACTTATTGAGAAACTCGTGAGCAACAACGCGCCCGTTACTGATCACCGAAGCATTTATGCCCGATTACAAGAAAAGCAACAACAACGTAAGAACAAATCGAATACAAGAGAAACGGGCGCGATGTTCGCTGCGTCGATTCGAGTCCTCCCGATAAATGAATGTAGATCAAGAATTTTCTGATGTTGTCATGTCCGTGATATTACAATTTAAATTTAAAACAGCATTACAAACTTTTTGCAGAAAGCTGCTGATATAACTGGATTTTTCGATAATTACTGTTTTATTAGAATTTATTGCACACAGCACGAATTCTTGTGTCCATTTTTAAATTTCATTTCACCTGGATTTTGGTCGGTATTTTTCTAAAAATGATAGCTGTTTCGCGTTGATGGCTCCTCGACGTTTGCTGAAAAAATATATAATATTATTATAATTCATAATTATAACGATTATAAAATTATACGAGGATAATTGTTCTTCATTCAATCAAAAAATTCTGGTATAAAATTAAAAAAAAATAGTTTTTTTTATATTATCGAAGTTTAAACTAATCTAAAATATGTGTGCAGAAGTATTTTTCAAAATTTGAAATATTTTCGGCGATATGCTATAATAATCGTTTTCTGTTTCGTTCCTCTGTGAAACTTTAAACGCGTTTTCCTCGAAAGGGGGCGTCCATTAATCACGTGAGGTTTTTAGGGGGAGGGGGGGTTTACAAAAAATCACAAAATATCGTGCGCGGGAGGGAGGGTATAGTAAGATATCACGTGTTTTTTCACGTTACTAAAAATACATGTGATGTTTAGTGGCGGGGCAGGGGCTAGTTTTGAATATCACCATGTATCACCAAGGGAGAGAGGGGTTCCAAAAATCCTTAAAAACTCGTTCACGTGATTAATGGACGCCCTAAAACTTTATTTTTCCATTTTTCTCATGATTTCTCAAACTCCACTGTACCGATTTACTTAAAATTTTTACAAATCCTTCTCTATAGACATAAAATAAAATATATTTTTTTATATCATTAATTTGTGAAAAAACATTATTTTAATTTATCCGTGGTTCATACAACAGCGATTTTTTTTTAAAGATTACATTTTTTTATTGAAAGTATTTAGAGTGCTGAAATCAGGTGGAAATTTTTTTAAGACACTACAATTCAAAACCTTCTAAAATTAAAACTTTATGACTATTTATTTTCTTCTAAAGTCTCAAAATATTACTTAATTAATAACTTGTAAAAAGAAATGAAAATAGTAAAAATATTGTTTGCCTTATTTTTACGGCCTTTCAAAAATCGCATAAAGCTCTCACTCCTCTAAGCCAAAATATTGCTATAAGAGAGAAGGCGTATGGCCGCAGTGGGACATATACGTATAAAGTGTGATTGAAAAATCCCTAAAAGTATTAAAATTAAATCAAGTACAACGTGACGATTTTTTACTGACAGCGCACCACGAAAAGAATTTGCCACAAGCCCCATATGTTATAACTACGCCAATGATGGTTGTTGAAACAGAACTAATTCTGCTGCGTTATGAAACATTCAGAAGGAATTCTTTCAACACATGCATCTTTAATGGGTTTTGAAAGTTTGAGCGCGGTAAAAATTTCGTATATTAATTTGTTCACCAACGTTATAATCGTTATAAAGCCATTAGTAATAAAAACACGGCAGTAAAATTAAGTTAACTATAATAAGTTTGAAAATTTTAATTCCTTCTCTTACAACCGTATCTTAATTCTTTTTAAGTCATAAATTCGTTATTTATATTAATAGTTTTAAAAAATTATTGAGCTATTATTTAATTAACCATTTCGCTACTGTACTGTTTTTCGCAGGAGTGATACTGTTGTAAGGAACAGCGAGCCGCCCAGTATAGCGATACTGCACGGATCAGACACGACAACATTTTTGAAGATTTTCCAATCATTATCAATGAAAATGTACTTAAAAATTACCAAAATACATTTTTAAATATCTAAAAAATTCGATAACATTAGAATTCTCAATAATTAACCCAACGTGATAACTCTTGATCGAGAATCAACGCACTGCATGTCGTCTATATGCGTATACCCATACACAATCAATTAAAACCTATTTTATAAACTTAGGTAATACGTAGATCTAGTGCTTTAAGAGTGTAATTTTTAGTTCTTATATAATTATTGATAACTATTGGAAAATCGTGAATTATGTCGTAACATACATGGGCGACTTGCTGCCTCGTACGGGTGAGTCACTTCTGCCCTCGTAACTTTTTTTCACAAAATTAAAATACGTGGTTGTGTACATGTTTTAAATACAAACGCGTTTTTTCTTTGTCTACTTTTTTAAAATAATTCTACACGTCTGACATTTTAGACTACAAAAATATAAATAGTTTAAATAATAATATATATTTTCATAATAATAAAATATGTTAACTACTTACATTTTTTATTTTATCTATATCAAATATCGATCAATGGCACTGAACACTGAATACTGAACTTATAAACTACACATAAAGAAACAAGAAGTCCATTGATCGGAAATAATATAAACACTCGTATAAACATTAGAATTAATATATACATTAGACAAAAGATAAAAACACAAAACTTTCTGGGAACCATAGCAGACTGATAAAATTCCAAACGCTATTGAACCAATATGATTCCAAGAATCAAAACGCTGCATCGCATTTTATATTAGGCTATATTTGTCATTTTCCATTTATACAGTAAAAACCGGCTTTTTTTACAAAAAAACCGGTTTTCGAATTTCATAAATTTCGTCAAAAAACCGGTTTTTAAAACCGGTTTTTGAAAACCGACAAACCCTACTTTCAGCACGTATCAATAAAAATATCTATTGTAGTATATTCATAAATTTCGTCAAAAAACCGGTTTTTAAAACCGGTTTTTGAAAACCGACAAACCCTACTTTCAGCACGTATCAATAAAAATATCTATTGTAGTATAAATAATTATCTGCCTTCTTAAATCTAATATTGTATGTTAATTACTAATTGAAATATACTTACTCTCGAATCATTTCAACAGCTTCTTCATATTTTAGGCCCAATTCAATCAGTTTTTTTTAATATTAAAAATGAATTTGAATTGCTTGCTATATTGCTATATTATGATATTTTGACTTTCTCAGTCAAATGAAGGAGAAAGGTCTCAGGGTAAATACTGAGAGTGATTTTATACACAAAATAATGGTTGTCTCAAACTTTTTCGAACATTCGTGTAATATCTACACATGCCGAAATACAATCAGCCCGTTTCCTGAAGTTTTTGAAAATAACTTTAAACGGAAGATATTTAAAAATACATAACTTAAATTTATCAAAGAGGTTTTAATAAAAATAATATCACTTGAAACAGTATCACAATTAACTGATTAGAAGCATATGGAATTTAATTGATAAAGATGTAGTTTAATGCATATTGACCATAGATACTGAAAACGTGACCTGCAAATGTTTATCAGTATCCATTCATTGTTTTGGCGGTACAATTCGTTAGTTATAATTTAATTATAATTCAGTTTTACGCATAGAATGATCGATAATCGATTATCACTAAAAATTAAAAAAAAATGCATCTATGATGGCCACGTCTTACTCTTCAGGGTATTTTGCTCTTTATATGTCCTGTGTTGTGTTATTCGTGGTAAAAAATAGAAAAGGTTTCAATCAAAAAAATCCCTTTGCATGAGCCAAATTAGGTACCCTATGTAAAATATAGTTTGCAAGCAAGTCACGAAGATTTAACGAGAATGCAAGATTAAACGTACTTGCTTAAAGCCATATTGTGTATTGGTATTTTTTATACGAGATTTTGAGAATTTATTTATTTGTTTGGGCAGTAACCCTTTTACCATTGCTCATTGTGGAAAGAAATTTCATCAGTTAAATTTTTGCCAGATTATGTTTCGATGCGTATTGGTATTGGTATGTTCTAGTGATAAATGATAATGACTGATAAGTTCATATTTTTATTCACGGATCATGATATTTATGATTGATGACACGGTTGGGGAATATGTTTGCTTGAATTGCGATTCGAAAGGTTTTTCATATGATATTAGAAATTGTGTGCATTACACGTTCTGCAGCTTCTTCAATGTTAGCATGAATACTAATTTATATTATATGTTCGAAATTATCGTTAATTAGTGTTTGTAGCGTGATCATTTGGACATTGCATAATCTAATATTTTGCGACAGGTTGTAAGATAATTATCAAGTTTGTAAGAGATGAATATGAAAATTGAATTGTGATCTGTATGAAATATATATGACTTATTACTTCGGAAAGTATCAAGTATGGTATTTTTTGTAAGTATAGAGTATTTTTATAAACAAACAAAAGATCTATATTACCCGTGGAAAAACCTTTAATAGATATAACCTACAAAGCCAAAATTCACACAAACGCTTTTAGCAACTGGTTTCGCAAACGAAAATTACAATAACAATATAATGTGATATAATTATATAAAAATGAAATCTAATTGCCCCGTTTTAACTATTACAGAAAATTACTTGAGCAATTTCCAAAGGATAATATTTATATTGCATTTCCGAACTTATTTCAACACAAACTTTTCATCTTTGAAAGTAATGAAAAAATGTATATATTTTGCAGGTTATTCATCTGTAGGACCAAATTGCCAAAATTGATCCGGATCTGTTGCTTTATATAAAACTGATTTAGCACTAATTATATTAATAATAAAAAATTTGGATTATGTGCTATTAAAAAACAAAGTTTATGAAAGTCGAAAAAATTCAAAATTATTAACTTTTGCATGTAGTTTCTAATCAGCCCTAAATTGTATTCGAACCCACATGCTGATCTGAAGCATTATTAACTTGTAAGTTCAAAGTACAGAAATGCAATAATATTATTACTAATACTATATACTAATTAATTTATAATGTCTGATGTACACATTCAATTTCAAGAGTAGGAACAATTAGGTAGTTAACACTTTGTTGACTGGTCACGATCAAATCACGAAGAAACTAGTAATGAGCTTTTTTACCATCGCTCATTACCATTTTCTCTGTTAACACAAGCTGTTTCTCTCGCTTATAATCTTCTGGTGTAAAAATATAGAGATACCAGTAGCCGGCCAACAAAGTGTTAACTACGTTGGTCAACTATATAAGTACAGAAGAATGTTAATCTAACATAAAAAAATTACCTTTGTTTAAGTGTTAAGAACCATTCATCAACTATGGTGGTGGGTGGGAAGGTGCCATCTTCGAAGGCCAGATCTTTGACAAGGATTCCCTGAGCGGACAGTTCGTCCGTCTTGTAGCTCGGCTCGCACACTCGAACCACGATCAAAACCTTATTCTTTTTCAGTTCATTGATATAATTGTGAATGTTATGATCGGACGGACGGTCAGTTATCAAAAATTTCATTCCTTTATACTCGATACGAGCCGGAGCAGGTCTGATGTCCTTCTGACGCATGTTGTTCATTTATATCAAACAGGAAAATGATAATATGAACCGAAAAACACTTCACACAAAAGAAAACTGTCTCTTTAACCAAAGTTACCAAGAACCCGACACAAAAACTTCTTAATATAACAATTTGTGAAACTTGAGCTCTTTTTTAATCTCAAATATATGATTATTTTCAATTTTGCGGAATAAACTTGATCTAAACGTCGATTAAAATATTTAAATTCACATTCGAAGGGACTCCGAAATCATTTAGTTTCTAAATTTTTTCATATATCTTTATACAGTTATATTTATATAGATATATATATTTGTATATGTAAATTATAAATAAAATCAGACTTTTAAAGTTTTATACAATTATCTTTTACTTAAATATTCGTTGTTGGTAACGCGATGTTTTCTTTCTTTGATATGCGTGTTACAAATATATCCCTATATAAATATATGCACATATAAAACGTTATATGTAAATATATGTATAACGTAATGAAGGTGATGAACTGCCTGAAACAAAAAAAAAATAAAATTGTTCACTAACTAGAAATAAAATAGGGTTTTTAATTGTTATATTTATATTAATTATGTCAAATTCTAAAATCAATAGCAGAAATTAAATTTAAAGTAAACAGTTTAAAGTAGTAAAGTCTATTTGCACCGTGACTAATGTCGAATTATCAGTTATCCTGCTCGTAAGCAAAGTAAGAAAAGATTTTCTTGATTAACCCTTTCGAATGTCGTCCATAAAAGACATTCTCTCGAGTACGAGTGTCGTTCATGGACGACATGTTATGTATCCGTCATTGTTTCAAGATTAATCACTACTTATTAAATTACCGGCAATTCTAACTTTTATTGTTAAGTTATTATAGAAGCGTAATTTTTAAGTTTCAACGCATTTTCATTGATAATGATAGAAATTTGTTAAAATATATCGTGCCTGGTCCACTCTGTTCTGTACAGCAGCGACATTCCTGCGGAAAACGCTCTCCGTAGCAAAAGGGTTGATAAAGTACAGAAAATATAAATGAAGTGCCAAAAACTAAAATTTTACTCTATACCGAAAAATATCACCATTTGCTTACAAGCCATGAACAATGATACACTTGTTGCGCCTTCAAATAGGATTGCTTTCGCCACTCCACTATTAATAAACTTTCTTCAAAATTGTTTTTTTATAAATTTATTACATTCTTTAAATGTCTACCTAAAAATTTGTCGTTTATGTCATTTTACTACTTAATTTTTCAAGATCTCAATTGTTTTTACATTACATCATGCTTTAACTATTGAAAACAAAACAAAATAGATGTCACAATTTTACCTTAATTAGACACGTTATTTAATTCTGTTTCTCGCAATCAAAATTTGTTGAATCTTATTTACGTGAATACTCATATGGATCGGATGAATTCCACAAACATGTTTTTGTAAAAAAAAAGATTTTTGTTAAATCGTGAATCTAAAAATCGTATTTGAAAAAAATCATCTCGAATGAAATAAAATATTTTAGATTTTTCAAAACAAAACAAAAATCACCAACGTGTTCTACGTTTTTTGTTTTGAAAATTATTAAAATAAATTTTTTTAATAAAATCAATAAAGTTTTTAGAAAAGATAGAACTCTAAAGGATTTACCTCACACTTCGTCGATTACTAACTCCGGCCACACAGTGTGCAGAGCCGAAACAGGAATAAAGCCTCTATTTGTGCTGGGCTTGGCAGTATTCCGCGCTGTCCAACTGGAACTCCATGTATCGCAGGGCAACGGGCGAAGGAACCTGCAATTGAGACATTCAAATGTCAACTATCATGTTATTTTATAAAATAACAGATTTACTGCAGGCGAAATTTTATAAATTTTCAGGATTAATCCAAACGAATTTTCGTGATATTCACAGGAAGGACCGAATAAATATTTGTTATATTAAAAACGTACACAATAATATTCAACACAAACTTTTTGAACTCTAAACAAAATTTATGGCAGACAACAAATAATTCACTCTAACCATCTATAATAAAAATTCGCTGATTAAAACCTATATTTAAAAATAAATATTTCTATAAAAGAGTGCGCTAGATATTACGTACTACTACAAACATTTAAGAAATTCCTTTAAATTTTATGAGCGTCAAACTTAGAATCACTTAAAACGCAAAATGAATGATTATTATATTTAGCTATGCAATAATTTCGATAACTCACTATGCTTAAAAGTATTATTATTAAGTATTGTAACACATATATACTGAAAAGAATTTTACTTTGTTTCATTTATCAATGTATCACAATTTAATTGTTTATTTGTTCTCGAATCGTTACGTCAGCGAAAAATAGTTTATTTAATACATTTAAATTTATAGTATAAAATAAAGTTTGCATTATTAGTATGAGTATGTGCGATGACGAAAATGTTGAAAGAAATTGAGCCTTTTACAAATACAATACACGTTGCAACTTTCACTAACACACTTTGCGAACTTCCATAGAATTTTAACACATCAATTTTCCCAGTTTGTGTATCTGAGTACAGATCATATCACAGGTTAAATCAGTTTATGCAGGTACAATTTGAAGTAACTATGATACCACTTGAAATTTTTCGAAAAATAAAAAACAGTATGTATTATGTGAATATTTTCATATTGTCACTTTTGATTAATTAGAAATTATTATTCATGAAAACCATCAAATGTGAAATCTAAACAAGCCATACTATATACGTCAATGAATCGAATTATACACAAATGTATTAAATTATACTAATCCACTAATTTTATGTATTTTATTCATTGTTAAACTTTTATCATAACTTACTAAATCCAGTCAAAATAAAACACACTGACACTTTATGGTGGACGATGTTTTTGATGCATGAAAATCAAGTCCAGGATGTGAATGGTGCGTTTTTTCGTGAAAATTATTTCGAAAACCACTTTTGAAACAAGAATTTTGGTGTCTAATCAACACCAAAATTTCAAAATACTAATAGAAATTGTCAACTATCTATTAAATATAAATAAACAAAATTTAATGGTGCACTAGATACGCGTGTGTTCAGTGCTGATCACAAAATGCTATTGATAGAGAAGTTTGCTTTCGCATTATCATTTTGCTCAATGGTCATACTCGCGAATATTTATAACCCGTAGGAAAAAGATGTACGTAGTAGAGGTTTGATTTTTTGGCACGGGATAAGACGGGATAACCGAAAGACAAGATTCAGAAGCGAATTTATAAAATGGTGATGCTTATTAAATCTCATTTTAATCAAATATAAATTCAATAATATTATAATTTAGACAAGCAACACGGGAATGAATCAATGGAAGCACAAATTGATTTTTAATTTGCAGTATATGCCATATAATTGATAAATGTTAAAGTAAAAAAGAATACAAATAGAGAACGATATACTAAAAAATATACATGTCACAAATTAAATTTTTGAAAAATCACAAAAATCGCAAAATAGTAACTAATGATGCCAAAAACAAATACTTTGAATATAAAAAAATAAACGAAAATTAATGTATGTGTGCATTTACCTCGAGCAGCCAAAAAATCTTTATGTAAACCGAGTGTTTACTTAACTCGCATGTGATGGCTATTACGCGAACTCATGACAACAAGATTTAGACAAAATGATTTAAATAGAAGACAAATGATTTTCACAGAGTTATCTAATAAATTTTGAGACTGCTAAAACTAAATCTTCCATTCAATACCAATAACTAAACTTCAGTGAGTAATAATTTGTAAATAATATTGAAAATAAAATACTAATTTCACCTAACAAGTAAGTAGCAAGTATATAAATTGAAAAGGGATTAGCAAATCAATCATTTTAACATTTCAAATATCATTACAGTATTAGTATTACATTCATGACGATTTAATTCGTAACAATTAGCCTTAAGCGAATTATTGTTATTGCTTTAGCAAAATGAAGAATGCCCATAGACGTGCAATGAGCTGAACTTTCAACATTTATAAGCTTTCGCACGCACAATCATATGAATGGTGGTTGAAAAAATCTAAATTATAATAAATTTGATTTGACGATTTTTACTAATAATTATTTGACTTTGAAAATAAAAGATACAATATATAAGAGTAATGCTGGCCAAAATTTATATCAAACGCCGGATCAGCCTGATCGTCAAAAAATGACAAACAATGAACGCACAGCTATAAATTAAACTCCATGTGTCATTTCGTATGGTCTCCTATTCTGATCATATGATAAGGCAAAAATAATAAAATCGAATTAAGTTTGTAAATAATTTACAAATTTGGCACAAATTCCCCGAATTAGCGAATTATTGGACTGTTTTTACCGCTACTTGAAAACGATGATGCAAGCCGAGAACAAGCGGATTTTCCGTCCAAGGCTTCTCGAAGATATTTTTATGAAACGATTTTCTTTGAACTACCAATCGCGAAAAAAACAAATGTGTGCCAAAGTTTTATGCGTTCCAATCACTTGAACAATTTATAATTTTGCGCTAGAAAATCTGCCAAAGTTAGGTCTCCTAATAGAATTTTATTTTGTTATATTCTTGCTTTGTTTATTTTTAACGTTTATGAAAAATCTAAAATTCAATTAAAATATATCTTTTTATTAAATTGCCCATAGTGTACTTACAACATATTGAAAAGTTGTAGATATGAATAGAAAATTCATTAGCTACTTTAGAACGCCATCACTGATTTGAGTAGTGACTTAATTGCCGTTGCAGAATTCGTAAACAAGGTGTTTTAAAATATTAGTTTGCAATTAGATAAAGCGTTGCATTTGGCAACTGAAACAGCCAAAGAACTAATTTTGATCATAGTCCTTGCAACGAGTCTTCCAAAATTTGATGAATTTCATATGTACTGTCAATTTGAACAAACTGAACTACTTGTGTAGACTATTTAAAAAAAATAGTCAAAATTTTTTACCGTTCATATTTAGGAAATAAATAAGGAGATAAGTATATTTTAATTATCGCCTACATATATAAAATATATCTTTTGTTTTTCATAATTGACTATGACTATGTAATAAAACGATTTGTTTTTAAATATATATTATATTATAATAAAATATTTCATTATTTAATATTCGTTCAGTCGAAACTGTAAAACGATACTTTGTTGGCATTATTGTATGTTAACATGTGTAAATATTCATGAATACTTTTATAAACACGGTTCTCATTTATACTGTGCAAACTAAGCGTAAGATATATATATATATATATATATATATATATATATATATATATATATTCATTTTTGAACAGCAATCAGAATCTTACGTCCTATGAGCTGTTGGGCTGAAACTTCTTACTTCATATTGTTTAGACGGTAACCCAATGGTTAATCCATCCATATTTGATGATTTTATTATTAAAATTAATCTAATAGGGCTGACATTTTATTGGTGCAGCAATGCCGGATTAAGGGCTATTTTCACATGGAAACATATTGATATCTATATTTTCAAGTGAAAATCGTTGTCACTGCTGCCTGACAACAGGCTGCTCGAAGTGGGTATCGAACCCGGGACCTCTGAAACAAGTCCCGTCGCTCTTAACCGCTTACCTACGGGCGAGCCCAAGAAAAATATATAGTTACTTAAAAATGAAAAGTGAAACATGCAGTAATGGCATTGTACTAATAATTAAAAAACCAACTCGAATAGATTTGCTAAAATTAGATACTTCAAACTTGTTACTTAGCCCTCTGGAGGGCTGAGCTCACTTGAAAACATATCTCTCATCTATATTTTTAAGTGAAAATAGATATCACTATTGCTTACACACAATGGGAATTTAAACTTGGAATATTCTATAACTCGCGCCATATTCCCCAAGAATGTAACTTATTTCTTTAATGTTGTCTGTAACTTATTTTTAAATTGGACATTTGTTGACAATCGGACTTTATTTGGAGTTCGATCGTCATCGATGGCCATTCGCCAAATTTTAACATGGCTTTTAGTCATGAACGCAATAAAATACAATACATTATCGAATTGCCATTATAATTAGAGAAATATATATACTTCATAGACTCTCATTTATATCCCCTATGTGAAAGCCAAATCGGGCGGACAGTATTTAATAATTATTAACCCCTTAGTAGGGTAACGGCATTCAGTACTCTCCAGAGACAAGATGGAGATGGATAGTAATAATTTATGAGAACATATTATTTATTAACAAGGTAACTTTAACCGACTGACTCAATGAATACAACATTGATTTTTTTTATTAATTTGAACAGCTATCAGAACTTAAGTCTTATAGGGTATTGTGCTAATTTGAGATGTATCATCACAGTGTGATGAATTATTACAATTTTGTAATAGAGCAAATATAGAAAATATTAATTTGAAATATATATGCAGTGGCACTCCGACTTACAAGCGACCTGACATACAAGTGCTCGTAGATACAAGCCGCCAAAGAAGCGATTTCTTGCTCTGAGATACGAGCAAAATTCTAGATTAGATTATAATTATTAGATTAGAGCATTGAGCGAGGAAAGGTTTTCAGGATAAATGTTAATGGTAAAATGAAAATATGAAAAATTTCGTCGGTTGTAACAATAATTTGCCTAACATAAAACTAATGTGGGTGTATTATGATAGTAAATTATTTTGTAGTTAGTTATTTAAATTATGTATTAATATTAATTGTTTAGCGAAGATTTACCCACCCGAATATATTTATTTATTTATTTATTTATTTATACGCCAATCGGCTTTATACAGTTTTATAATATTGTTTGCTAATTCATAACTTGTATATTTATATCTATATACATATACACACACACACACATATATATATATATATATATATATACACATATATATACATATATATACATATACATACACATCTACTTACATACAGATATACATACATATATACTCATATAATACGCATAGATATACATACATACGCATATATGCACATTCACATATAAGTACATAAATACATACACATACATACACGTAGACTTTATAAAAAACTATAATAATTAAGTAACATAAAATAATACTTTGGTTAAATAATATGACTGGTGAAATAATTAATTGCACAAAATATTGTGGTGTTTAAGTTTTTTCTTTATGTTAGCCTCAAAACTTTGTTGACGCATATCGAAAAAGTTCAAACTGCCGCAATACTCATTGACTTCTCTGGCTAGTCTATTTAAAGGGCTATTATGCACGTACTATTAACGTATTAATATCAAGGATTATTTTAACATTTCAAACTTCAAACATTAATAGTGATTGTAAGTTATGTATATATTAGGTTGTCAAATATCTCCCTTCCGCTTTTTTGCTCTTGGTTTATAATACAAAAAGGCGGAAGGGAGATATTTGACAACCTTATATGTTGAGTTCGCGTTTACTGCTATTTGTACATAGAATATTATGTACTTTTATAACTATGGGTCCAAATAAAAGAGCCATATCTCTAGAATTAGAATGTGAAATTATCGAAAAATATGAGGATGGCGAGGATGTACGAAAGTGACACATCATAGATGAGTTTTGTGTTTGAATAGAAGAAGTTGATCAAGGGTATAACACCAGCTAAGGGCCTTATAATAATTTATAAGCAGCTTTCTAATAATAAGCTTAATTATAAGCTTAATTATAAGCTTAATTATAAGCTAATTATAAGCTGTAGAAAATTGGGGATAAAAATCACCCCAAAAAAGTTCTAACATGTCTAACTCATTTCCTCAATATCATAAATGGACAGAAAAAAAACAATAACTAAATTAAAAAATTGCAAATTTATTTTTAATACATATTCAAAAAACTTAACAAAACCCACAGTGCTGGAACAAATTTATGTCATGTCAATGTATTTGTATGAAAAAAGTTGCTTTACGAGCCATTCGACATAAAAGCTTGGTCACGGAACGAATTAAACTCGTATGTCGTCGTACCAGTGTATTAATATAAATTTGGAATATACATATGATATTAATAGCTTTTGGGTACAAATAGATTATGAATATTCCGATTTATCGATCAAAATAGGAACTGAAATGTCTACTGCAATAGCACACGCACTCGCCGGACCGATTCGCGTTGAACGTCACTGACCTAGAACTCGTGATAGTCAAGTCAAGGTCCGCCCACAGCGACTTTAGCACCGCATGTTTAGACTTGGCTAAGCCCAAACACATTATTATGTGGCATTTAATCTACGTTCTACGCTGTCGAAAATGCATACGTTATTTTCGTTTGTTATCGGGATTACTGGAATTCGATATAATACATGTTTAATATTATAAACTTTATCTAATGTTTCTCTACTGCGAGAATAAATTTTTCCATTAAGTGCTAAATCAGGATGCGGTCAACCTGATATCATGCAGTAGTAATAATTATATTCACTTGAAAACATAATAAAAACATCATTTTGGACACTGCTATGAAAACTAGTGGGGTGCATGGCATATTGCTGGAACTTCCCGTACCGTAATTAAAAATCATGGTACGGAACCAAAAAAAAATTACACAAAATATGTACACATTATGGAAATCTCTATAAAATATCTGATAATTTGATATGCGTAAGTCGAATAAACATTTTGACCGCCAAATGACATTTTTTTAACTTATTTTTATTGAGACCATAACCGCTGGACCTGCCTTTCCAAAAATTTAATCAGTTATTTATCTTGTCAATACAAGTAAAATATTTTTTGAATAATTAAAATCGGACGCCCCGTTCTCTTAAAAACGGAGTTACCATTTTTGGCACTTTTTGCCCCGTATCTTCGGAACGGCTAGACCTGTCGCCAAAAACTAATCAGCACGTCTCCTTACCAATACGAATCGAATGTTTTTTGAATTATTCAAATAGGTTGATCGGTGTTCCCAAAATCGTCGACAAAAATTTGTATCCGCACACACACACATACACATACACGCACACGCACACACATCCATTTTTTTCTAAGGTATGCCAAAATGTTCAGAAGGTTTTGAAACGTAAATATATATAAAAATTTTCATTTTCGATTTTTTGGGATTACTATAACTTGCCCTACGGAAAGTTAATAATGTAAAATGTCGAGTAGAATGGAGTTTAATGAAAAGTAATGCAGGTGGCTAAATATTAAAGAAAAACCCAAAAAAGTATTTAAGAGGGTGTTCTAGTGTAGAATTTAAAAAAAAAAATCGATTTTTTTTTTGTTTTCATATTTTCTAAACTTAACTATTCGCATTTTTCTCAAAACTGTCTTTTTCAATACGATGTCCACGATTTCTTGAGTTCTACTAGGCCGATTCATTTTAAATTTTCAGAGAATATACCAACCTCATCCCAAAATTTCAATTCGCACTATTTTTCAAAAAATTCAAAAGACTCAAAAAAGTGGTCGTCTTTTTCAAACAGTCATTTTGCGACATAATTTTAGAATAATCTTTTTTTTATAATTTCGGAAGGTTGCAATCGTGGACACGGACAGGTGCCAATTTTTTGTGATCCCCTAACAACTGCTAATTTTTAAAATTATTAACTATTTTTTTACTTTTTCTTGTACTTTTGCAACGCTGATGAATAAATAAGAACAAAAATATTGCATTTTTATGATGACCTAAAATTCATTTCTGTATACTAGAATATCCCCTTAAATGAAAAGGTAAACAAAGACTGATTAATCATCAGGGATCATACTCAATAGGAAAATTACCGTATTAAATAGAAGAAAAATACATGTGAAGTAAGCGCGTAATGTAATTATACAATTATTATAGTATATGTACACAGTAATTATTTTGTATAATACATTAACAGTTATAAATAAATTATAACACAAATGGAAAAAAAATATGCTCACTTATTTAACTATTTTACAGCGAAAAAAATTTTTATGTCATTTAATAAACTGACCTTCGCATCAAAAATGAATAAAATAAATGAATAGAACAATTTTAGTGTATCTCTCAGTACTGTATTCAGTGTACTAGATATGATTTTCTTTAGAAAATAAGTTGTTTTGAAGCTCGTGACATATAGTAAAAGAGCACAACATGTTTTGTCAACATATTTGCACCAAAGCCCACGCATATTTTTGTATAAATACATGACAAATTGTTTTGCCAAAATAAAATCATTTCAATATATTGACCGAACTTTGTTTTAATTTTAAAATTAAACTATATTTATAGCGAACAATTGCTAAAACGAAAATACGGTTCTAAAATTACTGATGTGATATCTGATTTATAGAATTGAATTATTCTCAAGTGATATTTTTGACTTAAGACTGCAGAGGTCTAAAACCGTTCCAAAAAATAATTAAGATAACATTTTTCATAGCTTTAAAGATGTTTTATTGACATTCTTATATTTTGCTTATTGACTAATAGTTGAATTCTGAAAAACAAGAATTGATGATACAAACAACAAAATTAACAATTAAAAATTTGTTAAAAAATAATGTTACGGTATAAATTGAATAACACAGCTGACGAGGAAACAAAATTTCGTATTTAAGTTCTAAAGTTAATGTAATAGTTTTTTTTTTTAAAAAGAAAGGATTATTCATACTTGCATTTTATTAAAAACAGTACTCCTAAAAATATATAATATTATGCAGAATCCAACAGAAATAATAGAACATTCAAAACGCCATATTACTGAATTGCATTTCACGGTCGATTACCATGTTTTTCATTTACATATTAAATGGTCTGTTTATAAATCAATAATTTGAAGAATATCGATTTACTTATTCAAAATTGTAACCAACATAACCAAAGAAATGATTATTTTAAATAAGCCATCTAATGCAGCCATAACCAGCGAAAAGTAATTGAATGATGTTAATTAAGCACGAAATGAATGTAGGTATATTTCGGGTGGTCCATTGTTTATAAAATCAACGCGATTTGGTAATTACGGTTACTAAGAATATAAATAGACGAAGATTTATTTTGTCTGGCGCTCGTTTCTTGCGTGTTGTTAAGGCATAAGTTGTTTTGGTAAATTAACTGAATCCTGATTCCACGCAAGAATATTATGTTCAAATGGCTCCGTAGTCTACAGTTAATCAAATAAATACACAATCATTTGGAATGCTTTATTAGAATAATTTCTATAGTAATAGCAAATTATTACGAATATTTCCACAAACGTATAGAAGAAATACGAACAAAATGGCATATATAGACTAAACTAAAGAACTAAACGACACACTGGCTTTATTTCAAAACTGGCTAGGGTTAGTAATGTTTTCGTGACTGTATAATAACTTGACGCAAGCCATAATCACAATCCTGTCAGACGTTGGGCGTCATCGTCAGTCTTGACGCAGTAAATCGAACGTCTTTACAAGATTATTTTCTCATGATTTTTGGGGACTTATTATTATTTGTAATTATTTTTATAAACGTCAATGTACTTAACATCAGTGTACTAGTAATTTAGATTAATTTTATTGTAATTATTAGGTGTTCCATGGTGTTTCGATTATTCGCACATACTTATACAATGAATAAAATGACATAGTAGTACTTTGAAAGAACTACTTAGAAGGTGATTGGCTTTTAACTTCTACTCAAACTACTTCTAGACTAAAAAATCTACCGTTAAAAAAAGGAGACTCGCATTTGTTACAAAACCCTCTTTTGCCTTTTTGATCTCGACAATGTGTAATTTATTCCATTTAGGTTTATGCGTCCTGCTCTAATACCCCAATAAAAACCAAATGTTTTATTTATGATTTTTCTTCTTAAAAATTGGTCTCTCAGAATGTGATCTGATTACCTTTTGCCATTTTGTCCGTACTATATGGACAAAATGGTTTTTGTAATTAATAGCACTTTTCCGTAATAAAGATGTTATTACATCCCCTACGTAATTAGAAGACTACAGTTTACTTGTATTTAATAATCAAGTTAAAACGATTATGATTGATCATGATACCCCTAACTTTTGTCCCTAACAGATCACAGTTTCCGTTTTATATTGCGATTTAAAAAAGTAGTATTTTAGGAAAGAGTCAATTAGCCTTAACGCTGAAAATTATTTATAAAGTAATAATTTTAAATAAAATTTTATCTATTATCAAAGATTATCGAAAAGATCAAATTGAAAGAATAAATAAGATTTCACTTAAGCGAAAGTGTTGCCACAGTTTTGTTGAATACAAAAGCACGCCTCGTATGTCTACTACTAGCGCAATGTAATGTTACAGTACAGTACTCGTGCGATGGGGAAAGTAGTTTCTACAAGCAACTGCTGTTTTTTTTTCTACTAAAAGTCTGTCTAGTCTTGACCCACTGGCACGGTGAAAACTTATATTTGCAATTACGGTTATACAAAGAAATTTATCGTTTTATAGAATCTACATTGCTAAATTTGATAACTTACGCCGTAGAGAAAAGCAAGTTGAATGGTTCTTATATTTGAAAATTATTTGAAATGCAAAGTTTTTACAACGGTATTATATTGCAATCAAATAGCCTTTAAAATTTTGATTAAAAATATGATAAAATGCATGCGT